CAATTCCAGGGTAAGTGGAAATTATAAAGAGAGCTCACGGCCACCCAGCTCCAAAACTGTACTCTCTTGCACTCTGGAAGGCTGGATGTTCCCAGTCCCACTTTGGAAAGTTGGTGTGCACCTTGGCGGAAAGTTTTTATTTTAGGCAGGATGTCAGAAGTATACCTAGAAATTATAGAAATTAGGATTGTCTATGTATCCTGACTACGAGCCTCTGGGAAATGAGGTTCAAGTATCTGCATTACTAAAAAGCTTCAGAATTAATCACTTCTGATGTGCAGCCAGAACTGCAAGCCATTGATCCAGCTTCAATGATTACACAACAATTTAACATGAATAACACTTTCTTTATAGGATCCCAGACTGGTTCATTCATTCAAGAAATACTTCTGAGCTCCTACTACCAGATGAGCTAATGCTCTTGGTAACACATTCATCTTTGATTCCTGGCACATGGAAGATGCTCGATATATCAGTAATATCCATCATTCCTTTAACAAGTGCCTCCATGTTCAGGAGAGTGGGCAAAGGGATGGGAATGTGGAGCTGAGGAGGTGCTGGTAGATTGGAAGCAGGGACAGGCAGGTAAAAAAAATCACTGGCAGTGAGGAATCACATTCAGCAAGGGAGGTGGCCAGCACTCAGAAGCAGGGCAGGCTTCGCTGGTGAGCTGGTTCTGAGATACAGCATGGCGTGTAGTAAGAGTGCAGTGCCTTCATACTGGAAGGCCCGGGGCAAAGGCCTGAATGATGCCCCTTCATTCTCTGTACCCTGTGTCACCTTTTCTGATCTCGGCAGTGCAGCTACTTGCCAGGCTCAGTTCTCAGCACAAGAGGGAAACCAGGGCTCAGAGAATATACAGGCCATACCAGGAGCATGGCCCATGGAAGAACTGAGTCACCCTTCATTCCCAAACTCCCAAACTCCTCATGGCTAGCAGAAAGCCATGACCCCACCCCACCCCCTACCCCCCAACACACACACACACACACACACACACACACACACACACACACACACAATCCCAGTGCCCTGGCTCTCTGAAGACCTATCTCTGGAAGAATATACAGTTTGCTTTCCAGCTTGGCCCTGGCCACTTCTGTCCCTTCTCTGGGGATAGGGATGACTACCTTGAATGTTGCTGCAGAGGGTTGAAAAGACAGTAAGTAATTTTCTCGCTACTGTACAGGGAAGGTGCCCTCAGGTGAGACTTGTTTTCTTTACAATCCTCATCATCCTGTCCATGTCCTTAGAAAGGAGGATCCCCTTGGCCGCCATCAACCAAGCACAGTGCTGGGACAGGTACATCCATAAGTCACTCTATGCACCTTGGAATGGCATAAGTGAAGAGGGAAAAGGTGCACAAGGGAAAATCTCTGCATGGAGTCCAGAAGACAGCAAGGGAATGGGGGCACACGCGGGCATGGAGTTGAAGAGGGTCCCTGGGACCGGATCTTTCATGGAGAGGGTGTTGAGGGGGCCTTCTGAAACAAAGGGGCCAGTTGTGACCCAGCCTTCTACCACGAGGCCTCCATTAGCTCCTGTCTGCTGCAGAAATGGGGTGGGGAGGCAGCAAGGCAGGAAGTGACAAGAATGCCAAGCTTCCCGCCCAATGATGAATGCGTCCTCTCTCGCTCCTCGTGTCATCTCCCATTTGTGTGGTTCTCATCTTTATTTCATGAACATTTTATTCTCGGAGCAATGGCTCCTCATCCCCCATAAATCTAGCGGGTGGCTCTTTACTGCAGCCCGGAGCTTGGTGCACTCACCTGCACTGGGTAACTACATAATTGTCTGATTCCTCAGAAAAAATATGAGCTCAGATGTGCATGAATATTAAGGGCCGAGTGCACATTACTACTCTTCCCCAAGTAGGTGTCTAAACTCCAAAGACACCCAGCACAAGCCATTAAACACAGCTTGGGCTCCACCCAAAGACAGGTTTCTAGCTCTTAAGAAATATGGCCAATGTCCCAAAATGAAACATTCTGTGAGTAACCAGACACTCACCTAATTGCAAATGCTTCTCCATAAGACAGGGCAACCAGTAACACGAAATGGGTCTAGATTAAACACCATCACTACTTTTCCAAAGGGTTTAAAGACATGGCTCTAAAGTACTGTCATTTCAGCCCCTTCCCCGGTTCCTGTTTGAGACATGATGAGGTCCCAACCCTGCAGACTGGTGGCTCAGTCCTTCAGGCAGATCCCACTGCCTCCTCCTCCAGCCTCTTCTATCAGCAGCTCCCTTGTTCCCACACTCCTGATTAACTCTTTGTTTATCCCATCCTATTAGCGATTTCCCTTCTCATCTCCAGCCCTGGGATTGGTACCCATCCTCAACAGTCCCTCCTAACAGCTCTGAGCCCAGCAATTCTTACCACACAGCCCCCAGCCACACCATGCTCTGGCTGGAGTTGGAGCCACCCTGCATTTTGGTGGTAACTGACGGCCTTCCAGGCAGCCTTGATCAATGGGATAGAGGCATCTTGGTGAGCTCTGTGCCTCATCTGCCTTTGAGGAAGTAAACTCCCTAAGGGGAAAGGCAGGGTCCCTATAGTGAGCTTACTAAAGGAAAAAAGAAGGGTGGTGGGGGGAATTTCTTTTGAAGATCAGAAACCCATAAAACAAAAAAGATGGAATGTTCCCATGAAGCCCTTCTTAGCCACACAGAAGGGGCAGGATGAATGGTGGCTACTGCGCTGGATGTCACTGTCAGCTGGGACAGAAAGACCTACATGTTGTACCGTGCATCCCATTGTCACTGGGACCCTGGATTTATGTCAAAGCCAGAAGAGAAGAGAAAGTACTTTACTGGCAAGAAAGGTTGCTGTGTCTAACAGCATGGTCATCTCTGGTTCTTCTGGTCTCTGTTTGCCTCTGTCTTCCTATTTGTGCCTCAACAATGATTATCATTGTCACTTTCTCACCTGCTTCCCAAATGCATGCATAGGTGTGTGTATGCACTCCTCCCATAACAATGAACTCTGGGTGGTCCAGGCAGGAACTATCATAAAGTAGGGGCTAGGAAGTGACTAGGACTTCCAGCCTCCTCCTGGACCTAGTGGAGCCTGTGATGCAGACACCAACAGGACAGCCATCTTCACAACAGTGCAGTGCTCACCGCCCTGAAGATTACCTCCTGCTCCCCTGACCTGAGGGGCATGTGTACAAGGAAATCAGGCAGGAGACATAGGAAATAGTCAAACCCCCAGACAACACAGGCAGGAGGCACAGTATGGCTTGGATAGTGTGTCTCCCATCTGCCCAGTCACCCCTGTTCCTACTGCAGTAGCTTTGGGACCACCCCATCCTGTTGCCCTCAGAGGCTCTGTTCACCTTGGCCTGGCTGGTGACAGCAGGAGAGGGTGCCCTGGCTGTGTTGTGCAGAGGCTGATGAAGTAGATCAGCTGCAGAGGTATACGGGGCTCCTCCCTAAAACCACTCATCAGAATTCAAGGGCCTTCCCAGCGGCTTCTTCATGCAGGATTTTCTACTTGCAAATAAAGGTTGAGATGGACCCATTAACTATTCCTTTTTGTAAACTTTCCCTAAATTTCTTCCTTCTTTCCCTTCTGTGGTCCAGGAGTGAGCAGAGAGCTACCAGGTTGGTGGCAGAACCAGGCCTCTCGTTTTCTTGCACAGAGGAACACAGAAGGCATGGGGGCAGGAGGGACATCCCCGGATCATTTCAGACACACTGACTCAGCAGTGGCCTCCTTCCAGGTAAGAGGAAGGAGGAGGACAGAGCGCTCACTGCTGGGGGTGAGCAAAGAATCAGAGAGGATGGAGAGGGACAGCCACCACCATCCTCGCAGGGGGCTCCCTTCTGGACACTGAACGGGGCTGTGGCAGCAATCACTGCAACCCACAGAGCCTCGGCCCAGGTGGCCCGTCCTTACTGTCGGAGGCACCGAGCCCCAGCCCTAGGTCAGGCTCAGAAGGAAGAGGCCTGCTCTCCCCTCCTGCTTGTTTCCTCTCCCACTGTGGCGCACTTTGGCTTTCTCGAGTCCCTGCCTTGGAAGCCATTTTTATGAACTTGTTACATGTCACCCAAGAACAAAAACAAGCAAGGTTCTTGCTTCAAAAAGGACTGGTTTAGGATTTGATGCTGGCTGTTTTGCTGTTTCCCGTTTGAGATTTATGTCTTTCCACTCCAACAAAATCAGCAAGCAGAGCCCTGATTCCAGATGTAGCAAGGTGCATGTGGCAGGGAGTGACAGGCTCACGAGGGAGTGGCCAGGCTGATGCTGCAGATGGCTGGGCGGCTACGGCTTCTGCTGCTGCAGCGGCCTCACCAAACAATATGCCTTCCTGCCCTCTTCTAGGGGTCTCCAAGGGACCTTCATGAAGTTTTTATTTAAAAAGTGAAAGCTTAGCTTGAAGAAGAGCAAACACTCCAGGAGAAGAAAATTTCAAGGGACAGACGGAATCTGCTGTGGTAGGCATGCGCAAGGAGGGCGGTGCACCCAGAGTCTGGACAGGGCTGCTGTGCCCCTGAGCAGTGCACCCTGAGGGGAGGCAAGCAAGGTGGGCCCTACAAGGAAGGTGAGAGGGGAAGGGCGGTGGGAGGAGCAGGGGTCCCCTCTACATTGCGGCTCTAGGCGAGAAGTCAAAGAGAACTGGGAGGGAAGGAGCGGGCTCCTCTCTTACCCTACAGGTGGTCTCTCCAGGCCAAGGTGGAGGCACATGGGCGGGGAAGGGTGGGGAAGGGCTCTCTGGCGCTGCCCACGCTGTTCCTGCTCTACAGATAAATACAGGACTTTAGTGGCCATGGCTGGCACCTCAACATTTTGTTCAAACATAACAACATCCCCTACAACTACATTTTTTTCTCTCGCTTTAAAATCAAAATGAAACCATGCCCCAGTAATAAATGCTGCTGTCCCTGGACAAGGTGACTTGGTTGAACACTAACTGGATGAAAACCACCCAGCAATGGCCCCATGTGCCCCTCCTGCCTCCAAGCTGAGGAAGTGGGAGGCGCCCTACGTACGGACCTCTTTTGGGGTCTCCTGGTGGCACCGGTTGCTGTTCCACCACAACTCCAGGGCAGCCACCAGGCAGGCGAGGAGGAGGCCAATGGCCAGGATGCAGAAGACCCCAGCAAAGCTGTGCAGCTTGAGGGATTTGCCATCGGCCTGGGCGCTGGAGTGGCTGGTGAGGTCACAGCGGCCCGTGTGCGGCCACCACTTCTGCTTGAGCACATCCAGGTCTCCTGTGTCCTGTAGCTCCAGGATCCTGCAAGACATAACCCAGGTGAGCCAGAGCCACTGAGCTCATCAATTAGCCATGGGAGCACTGGCCACCACCCCGCCATGCTGGCCCCACCGTGGACAACCCTGAACCACCTGAGCTGCCTTCCACCTCAGTTTCCCCTCGCAAGCCAGTCTCCACACCGAAGACAGATGCTCCCACCAAACACGCCCAGCCCTCTGCTCTCTCCGCCCATCCCAGTGCCAGGGCCAAGTCCAACAGCACAGTTCACAGGACCTTCACATGGGCGGTGCACCATGGCCGGTGCTCAGGATAACACTGGGCAACTGGGAAGCGAAGCATACAGACACTCAGCCTGTGGGTTAGGATGTTCATGATCCCCCAAATCTCTTCTACCAAACCCCCAAAACCATAGGTTGAGCATCCTTAACCCCAAATCTGCCATCTGAAACGCTCCAAAATTTGAAACTTTGAGCACCAACATGTCCTCTGATGAATCAACACTGTTTCATGCATAAAGTTAAAATACTGTATAACATTACCTTCTGACTATGTGCCTAAGGTGTATATTAAACATAAATACATTTCATGTTTAGACTTTGGTCCCATTCCTGAGGTACTGTAAATATTCCAAGATCAGAAAAAAAAATCCCAACCTCTACAACTTCTGGTCCAAGCATTTTAGATAAGGGATACACAGCACACCTATCCTCAGTTTGTCCCACTACGATCCACAAAATCTTTCATTCATTCATTTGATTTAAGAAGTCTCTGCACTGATGAACTTCTGGTCAAGAAGCACAAACACAACCGTAAAGCCACAAGAGCAACTGATGTAAAAACACAGGCTGTGACATGAAAGTAGATGGACCAGGAAATAGTAAATTTGGAAGGAGCTTGGACTGGAGGATGAGGACAAGGTCAGGAAGGAGGTGACAGGTAAGGGAAAGCTCTCCAAGAACCACTGATCATTCAACCGGTTCTCTGGGCCAAGGAAGACCCGAAGAGCTTGGCAAGTGCTGCTGAATCCTCACGCTGACACTTTGAGATGCTTACTTCTGTTTTCTCATTTTTACAGAAGAGGACAATGGGGCAGAGAGGTGAAATATCTTGCCAAAGCCACTTTGAGGTTGGCAGGGCTGGCACTCAAGGAGGGAAGGGAGAACTTCCTGAGACGAGCTATGTGTAAGTGTCTCACCCAGGGCAGGAACTCCAGATGTTTAAGAGGCTGACACACAAGCAGAGAGGGTACAGAGCACTAAGTGAGGGACAGGAGCATGCAAGAAGAAGACGGTGAAGCAGGCAGGGCCCGGGCCTGGGTTCCAAGAGGGCGGAAAGGGAGCCAGGATTTTGTGCTGTGTGCCATGGTGGAGTGGGACAACTCCTGATCCTAGATGTCTCTTGGTGATTTCCTTCTGCTGCAGTGCTTTTGGGCTTCCTTCTGAAACCCGGGAGTCTAAACAGTGAGCCAGGGGCAATCAGTTGCCCCTGAGGCCCAAATATACAAGCTTTTCCATCTGGGGAGAAGAGCTCTTGAGCCTGGCCCACGATGGCACATTCAGTGAGCACCACCTGCAGCCATTCTTTGAGCCCTGCTGTGAGCACAAAGAGTACAGGTTCTCCACAGGCAGGAAAAGCTCAGCCGGATGGCCACTCAGACCCCACCCCAGACCTACACCACAACCTGCTGTGACCACAGGTCTGATGCTGTGCTCAGTGACCACACAAGCGCTTACAGTTGGTGGAAGTAAAGGTGACAGCTGAGGGACCTGCCAGCCTCACGGGCACAGCCGGGCACAGATTCTCGTTGGCTTTAAATGGCCCAGATCAGCGCAAAGGGCAGGCCCCAGAGGCACAAGAGCTCAGCATCCCCAGACAAGAGGATTTTCCTGCTAACCTCAGCATCCTCATCTTCCCGGCATGGACCGCTGAACCCTGCCAGACAGGCAGGGCAATGGCTTCAGGATGGGGGCTGTGTACTGCTTTCCGTGCTCTCCCTAGTATAAACACATGGGCCAGTGCAACCTAAGCTATCAGAAGATGTTTATTTTGTCAATAAATGTATAGTACTGAATAATGAAAACTAATCTAAACTAAAATGGCCATGGGAGATCATGATGTAGCGTCCACTCCGTTCCCAGGGCACTGATGAGTACAAAGATCTCAGAATAAGGCTGTGCATGGCAGGAGGTAAATTGGCGGCTGAGGTAAACGCATGATTTACACATGCATTTGTGTGGCTCAGGTCGTGCTCCCAATGCCCCTGAGCACCACAGCTCTCTCTCCGTGTTGCATGATTAAAGAGGCAGCTGCAGTGTCTCACTTGCTATTTTACATGGCTTTTATTGTGTCGGGGCAGCTGCCTTAATTAAGCCCCAGCTGGCAGGGTTGAATGGGCTGAGCTTCCTGGCAGCCACAGCACCACCTATGCACAGCCACCAGCTGAACGAAGGGCTCACCTTGGAGACAGTGGAGCTTCGTGTTTATGGACATAAACTCTGCTCTGATGAACATTCTTTCAAATCCAAACTCTGAGGTCCTCCACCTTAGCTTTCCCATCACTACAATCTTAGATTAAATAAATGCACCTACCTGGAAAAACATTGGTTCAAGACTTGGCAAGTACTAAGAGCTCCATAAAGGGAGGGTGACAGCCATAGATTCTGATGGCTGCATTGACTAGCAGCTTTCTTAGGCCACTGGTGACCCAAGCTACCTCTTATTGAGAACACAGAAGGAGTAAATCACCCAACACTGCCCGAATCCTCACAATAGCCTGCAGAGCAATCCTTATTATGTCTGTTTCACCTCATGAAGACTTTAGACTCAGAATCTAGATGATTTGGCCAAGGCTGCAATTAGAAAACAGCAGTGCTACTCTTCAGAGCTGGACAGTTCTGGTCAGGGAGGCCGTGCTCCTTGTGGAACAGCAGGTTGTTCTCTGGAGGCCAAGTTCTGGTCCAGGGGATGGAGAGGCTCTGGCCAGATGGTGAGGTCAGATCCTCACCTCCCCATTTTCAACAAGCCCCTGTGTAACATCAGGTGGGCTGCTTAATTTTGCTGACCTTCTCAACTCTTTTGGCTACCCATAACTGTGTGCATCTTTTATGCACAGAAGGAATGTAAGGCAATTTATAGGAACACAGAATTAAAGCAAAAATAAACAAATAAAAAGGAAACTGAAATACAGGTACAGCAGGGAGGACAGGTCCCAGGCACAAAGGGCCTTCCAGAACGAGGCTAAACTAATGCACACTATAATAATCTATATCCCACTTAAAGGAAGCCAGAGCGATAATAGCCACTTCCTGAAGCCAGTTGTTCTATTTTCCAGACAGATATAATTGCAGGTGTTTGCCTTTATTCAATAGTTGTAGAGCTTGCTACACAGTAGGTGCTCAATAAATGGCTATTAAGTTGCTAAACATTTATTGAATGCCCACTCTGCATGCTGTGGCCTGCAAACCTGCTATAGCACATAAGCCCCACTACTCACACATACGTCTACATCGTGTCCTCTGCCAAAACAAGGAAACAGCTTAGCTCCCAGAATGAAGGGAGAGATGGCTCCAGATAAGTGCCAGATAATAAGGCTGAGGTCTGCTACTTATGCATGGACCCTTTTTCTGCAAATGGCTTGATGCACTCTTCCTGGACCAGCCTCGTCACCCTTGTAAGGCGCACCCAAGGCAGCGCATACTTCTGCACCCAGGGTACAATGGAGAACCACTGGTGGCAGCAGGTTGGCAACCTGAGGGCTGAGCGTTCCCTCAACAACAGACACCTGTCTACCAGGAGGGGCGCTACCAGCCCAGGAAGGGCTTCACCACAGAGACAGGTGTCGCAGTGAAAACACTGATTAGGGTCACGGAGCACATGGCCGTCTGATAAAAGCAAAGAGGGATACATAACTTCCTGCAAGAATGACATGACAACTAGATGAGCCACTTCTGCTGATGGTGACCACTAGGATGGGAGGGAGAAGCCCACAGAGACCCCACAGTGGCGGAATGGATGGGACCTGTGCACAGGACCCTGTTCCCTGGCCAGCCTGCCTCTCTGGAATTGCACTCCTCCGAGCTGGTCATGGTCCACCATCCCTGGGCCCACACAAACACCATCTAATTCCTCACGCGCCTGATATAGGAGGAGGGGGACCACACTCTTTCCTATTCATCTCCTTCTCCAAGATGAGGATCTTCATGTCTTCCTCTGACCTAGCTCAGGCTCTCACTGCCCTGACTCCATTTACCAACCCAGTTGTGTCTCACGTTTCCTGGTTGCTGGCTCTCTCCTCTCTTTGAGAGGAGACACTCAGCTCTGCAGACTTACAGGAGGTAACTGAGTAGTTCCAGCTCAAGGGACTCTCACTGCCCCTTGTTGGGCCCCATGCTTCAGGAGCACTGCCTTGGGGCACATTTGCCGTTTTGGTGTTGCTGCTGTGTGGGCTCCGTGGGCTTCCTCCCCATCTGCTCCACAGAGACGCTTGCAGGTTGATGGTCTGTGCAGTCATGCCGAGCCTCACAGGCAGGAAAACCAACTAGTACAAAGCTCAGAAATGCCAGTGTGCCCTAAAGCTCAGACAGAAACCCTTTTTTCTTCATGCCTTGAATTGGAGCAATTGATAAATCACTCCTTCTCTCTTGTCATCACTCTCTGCTCCAGCGAACAGAGAAAAGCACAGAGCGTACACTTGATGAAATTCTAGAAAAACACCCAAAGCCTCATTTACCCTAATTATCCTACCCCCATTCCCCGCTTCACACACACTGCACTTATGGGACTGGCAACACGCCTGGCCATCACTTGGGCCACAGTTTGAATTTGTTTGGTGGACGAACACAGAGCTGCCTTTGGGGCTTCATCTCTGGCCTCCGCAATTCCACCTTCACCCAGCAGGGGGCGACCTCACAGACCTGTGCCAGGGTTGACCCAAGGCGGAGCACTCTTCGGGGACAGGAGTCCCTGTTAGCAGACTGGCTGCTGGGAAAAGGCCACTCGGCTTTTACCTTCAGTTCAGTTTGGCTAACGCAAGGTCACTGGCCAAGGCCCAAGACGAGCTGCTACGCAGAAAAGTGAGGTAGAATATTCAGGGACTAATTTTCTCAGGAAAGCTGGCCAGACATCTGTGCCTGGCAGCTGGAAACTTGGTCGGGTCCTGAGCAGCTTCTAGGGATAAATTTACACCAGCAAGTCCCCTGGGAAGCTGAATGGGCAAATGCAAACTAGACAACTAGTTTGTTTGTTTCTGGGGAAGGGTACTTTGGACTTTGCTGAGGCCAGAGCCCTCCTGTCTGCAGCTTTCCTCCCCATTTCCTCCCCAGTGCCCATACCATTTGCCAAGATTAACTGCCAGATAGCTAAATTGGGCTTAGAAACCTGGATTCTGGTCTGGGGAGGTTGGGGATGGGGCATGAGTGGTCCTCCTCTCCCTACAATGGAGGACCAGCACACAGCATCTCCTTGCACCAGAAAACTCCTGCTCTACCCTCTGCAGTCCCTCAGGCCATGTACAGATGAATAATAAGACATTCTGCCACCTGGATCCACATTTCTAAGCTTCCACATGACAATTACCACTTTGGAGATATGGTATACCTTCCTTTAAAAGTCAGGGGCTGGGGATTTAGCTCAGCGGCAAAAGTGCCTGCCTGGCAAGCGCAAGGTCGTGAGTTCGGTTCTAGGTACCAGAGAAAAACCAAAAAAAAAAAAAAAAAAAGTGATTATTAGGCCTTTCCCAAGCCCTATTCCTTATTCATTTATCTGGCTAACTTCTACTCCTTCAGAGCTCTGGTGGTGTCAACTTTGAAAGTCCTCCTGGGTCTGTTGGGTCTGGTCAGAGGCTCTCTTCTGACTGCCACCCACCTAAGAACACTGAAAGTGAACCTGCCATCACACTTATGCCCTGGGCTGGCATCACCAACTCAATCACAGCCCCACCAACACTAGGTGTCTTCTTAGGAAGGGACCACATACTTCCTCCTTTTAATCCAGAGCCTACCCAGCCCCTAGCTGAGTAGGGGAGGAGGACGCAGTGGTACACAGTCCGTGTTTAGTGAGATGTGATGAATATAAGGGAGTGTGTTTGCCCTTAGCTCTTATGAGACGGTATTCTCCTGCTGTTTCAGGAGCTGCAGGCTGCTGGAGTCACCCCATTGGTTGTGCCTACCTCTGAGAGAAGAGGTCCCTGTAGGGGCTGCCGTGCTGCAGGGCAATCCCATAGCCCTTGCTGCTGATGCTGTTACCAATGACAGTCACTGAGCAGTCGTCATCTGTCAGGGCTGCGTATTCCACCACGGCCACGTCCCACAGAAAGGCATAGTTCCCCTTCTTTGCCTGAAAGACCAAAATCACAGTGATATCCCACAGGCCTGACACGCTGCATCAGCTTCAAGCAGTGAGTCCCTTCTGTGGCAAGATTTGAAGGAACCGTCCTAAACAGTCCTCCTGCCCGCCAGACAGCCCAGCAAACTCGCCTCCCATGTTCTGACCCATGAGTGCCTCTGCTGGCTGATACCACTTGTTTTGGTTACAGATAAAAGATGTCCCGGTACCGGAGAAAAACCAAAAAAAAAAAAAAAAAGATGTGCAGGCTCGGGCTGAGCCCAGTCATGGAGAGGGTTAGGGAAAACGAGTTGCAGGAGGGTCCCGATGGCATAGGCACATTTCTCACTCACCCTGGAGAATGCAGAGTCTAATGCTGGATGGGTCAGACATGCAAGGGGAGTACAACAGAGGCAGGGCAAGAGGAAGAAGCTGCTCCCTGGAGACAGCAGGGGACCACTGAGGAGTCTGGTGCACTCAGTATTCTGCTTAGAACCTGACTGGGCGCCCCCTTGGGTAAACATGGGTGATGCTGTGGGTTCAGCGCACCCAGGCAGTCATGACTTAATATCAGCACAGGGCCATGTCTGGAGCTTGTTCTACAGGGAACAACCTGTTAGGAACAAGTGCCTGCTTTTTACGGTGCCTGCCGGGCTTCTGCCAGTTGACTTTCCCTTGCCTTACATGAGGGTGAGCCCCACACACACACACACAGCACCTTTGTACATACACACATACACCTATGTTTATACAGGAGCCAGTTTCTGGTGTCAGTATATTCCATAAGGTGCAAGGGCTTCAGCTTATTCCTTCTTGTAATAGCTAAATCCGAGAAACAGTTTATATGTCCATCAACAGATGAATGGATACAGAAAATGTGGTTTTTATACATAATGGAGGACTATTCTGCTATAAAGAAGGATAAACTTGAGTCATGTAGGAAAACGGGTGCACCTTGAGACCATAATGTTAAGTGAAATAAGTCAGACACACAAGCTTAAATATCACAGTTTCTCTTATATGAGAAACCCAAAGTACAAATAAAGAGCAAAATAAAAGATAGATACCAGGAAGTAGGAAGACAGGTATTTTGCAAGTGAAAAGTGGATGAAGAGATGAGGAGTGGGTGAAAAAAGGATTCAGATGTGTTATGGACATGTACCAACTTCCCACAAGAAATGTAAATATTATGTACTGCAAACATGTACTAAGAACAATAAAAACTGCAAAAAGACTATCCCATCAGGAATCTCTTCAGGAGTCTACAGCTGGAGTCCTGCTCCTTCCCAACCTTCACAGTAACATTCACTTCTATCATTTTTTTTTTTTTTGGTACCAGGAATTGAACTCAGGATGTTGCACTTGCCAGGCAGGTGAGCTATATCCCCAGCCTTTCAATTCTATCTTGAACCATGATTCTAACTTTGACTAGGGTTCGGGCATCCAAGGGGATGGGAGCTGGTTTAGGTGTTGGAAGGTGATGCAAACCAGACACTGCCACTTGGGCTTCTTACAGAGTGTAATGTTCTTGATGCTGCACAGTATCTGGTTTCATTCCAGAGTAAGCACACAGATGTCCCTTCCCCTTTTCCTTCCCTCCTACTGTGGCTCACACCAGATGCTGGAAGACCTCAGTGTGGGCATGGGCACTGGGCTGAAACATCACACATAACATAGGACAAGCTGCTGAGCTTCAGGAGCCCGGGCCTTGCGGAGGGCACAATCCCTGGCTCTACCTGCATCCCACTGAATCCTCATGTGCACTGCACTGCACGCCACCACTGCTCAGATGAAAACCAAGATTTTCCTTCGTTCAAGACCCTAAGTGCTCGTGGCCCAAGATGAGTCATTTTCTTCTCAGCTTCTCTGTGGGTGGAACATGACCTCCCACTGAGGGACTAGGCTGCTCCTAGCCTTTCACACCCATTTCCTTATCAGAAATGACACACACCAGTGCTGCCTATTGGCTTTCACCTTGGGGAGCAATTCAAATGTTACACCAAAGCCTCATTCTTCAGCCAATCCAATTTCAGAAATCCTAAAGGACTTTGACCTGGGTTGCAAAATTACACACATCTCTCTCCCTCCATGTAAGAAGATAACAGTCTTTGAGATTTTTTCCTGCTGGCAAACAAGTTTCGTTGTGAAAAGATATAAATTTTTCAACCTCTTAGTACCAAGTTTTTCAGCAAAATGTTGACTTATGACCTAATATTTGGCTTTAGTAAGACTTTGGAACATTTCAGATCCATGCTCGCAATTCAACATGACAATCAGACACTGTTATTTGTACGATTTCAAAAGGGCATGTCATGTTGAAGGAAGAATTAAGATCAGCTTCGTTCCTACCTCTCAAGTGATGCTCCTGGACGATGGATGGAAGAAATAAGTTGGCTCAGATAGACTGGAGCCGGACTCTCAGCAAAGCCCATCCCGGCTGCTCTCAACAGCCACCTGGATTCCTTCACACTGCGCGCGTCTGTGGCTGCACGTTAGCCTTGGGGATGAGTGGGCACAGCTGCCAGGAGGAAGCTGCGTCTATAATCCTGCTGCACTAGGCTGAGAAGGAGGCCAAGAAAGATGCTTGCAATATGTCAGCCTCAAATCCCTGCTCACCAGGAAGGCAGCTGAGAAGAGAGGGGAAGTAGAAATCTTTCTTGACCTGCTAGGTGACCCCAGACCCTCGACCTCCCATTTGCAAATGGACCAAATTTGCCATTCTGTCTTGGGTCTGCTTGAGGAACCACGCAGCGAGATCCCCAATCTACCTAAGCAGGAGCTGGACAAGAAGATGTGTATGTTTGCAGATGGGAGCCACATCAGAACTCCCACTGTGGCAGACAGGCCAGATCTGAGCACTAGCTCTATGAAATACTCCTCATTCTCAACAACCTTCTTCACTTCCTTGGTACCCCCGTGCTCTTCTATCAGCCCCACACTAAGTAGAATGCAGTGCTAAGACTTCCCGCTGGGTCCCAAGCTATCAATTTCCTTCATTCAAGACCCTAAGTGAGATCTTTCTGGACCTTATGGGTCTCTCCCAATCTCTCTGGTGTGTCACAGAGCCCCAGTGAGACACATGGTTTTTTTCACTAAGACCCCCTTCTTACCCACTTTGCAGAACTAGCTCTATTCCACTCCCATCCCATAAAAAATCCTAAGATGCATTTCTTCCTTGAAGGGTCAGAACCAGTTTTCCATATGTCCCTAATCGTTATGAATCCACTTCCTTAACTGTGCTGCTTGTCCGGAGCTTGGCTTGCCCGCACGGGTACACCTAATACCTCAATCCTCTACCCCCAGGACTGCCAACGGTCTCCTTGCTGTGCCGTGCTTCCCGTCACAAGCTCACCCCTTGCTTCTCTGAGTCTCAGCACCCCACTCATTCTGTGCCTAGGCTCAGCTCCCTTCCCTGAGGGCTCAGCCTCTTATCTAGTCTTTGTGGGAGAACTTGTCTGTTCCTCCCCACCATTCTGCATCCCTCAACTCCATCTCAGAGTCTTTGCACACTGGCGCCATAGCCATTTCTTTACATTAGCAGCTCCTTTCTGTGGAGGATTCTTTCTCGGGCTCTTGGGAGGATAGAGTGCAGGCCAGAACCTATCCTCCTCTCAACTGCGCCCCACTGCCCAGCACTCACAGAGAAGGGTGCGCACAGCCACATCCCCGCATGTGTCCCAAGACCGTCCACCACACATCGCAAGAGATCTGCAGATTCACTCTTCTTGCCACGTCCTGTTCATGCCAGCTTCTCTTCCCCATGTCTCCTAGGCTTGCCTTGTCCTTGCTGGGGGTGGCAAGTTAGGGAGGATGATGTCTGAGAGAAGGCACGATAGGCTATGAGCAGTTTACAAATAGATGCTGATGTTTATTTCACAGTGCCAGAAAAATCAAAGCAATGCTGTAGATTTGCATTCTGCTACCAAAACATAACAAAAACAATACTGCATTTCACCTTGTCAGTGGGCTGAATTGCCTTTATCTGGCCTGTTCATTTACAGTATTAAACGTGCTCTGAATTTCCTGTCACTGACCCATCATGTGTCGTGTGGGTTGCAGACAGTGCCATTGATCGAGCCCAGCTTCTCCACATCCTGGCTCTGTGTAGAGCCAGAGGGCAGGATGACCCTATTCCCAGCTCTTCCCAACCCCAGAGAGGCCCTGGGACTGGCTCTAGGGTCCTGGGACTCGAGCGCAGGCTTCTCCAAGTATAGAGAAGGAATTTACAGGGTATTTAAGAAAGCCGAGATCTGAAAGTTAACATAGGCTAGAAGTGTAATTTGGCCACCTCCACAGTGGGTTTTTTTAATTGGTAATATCCAGTGTCAAGGAGGTTAGGACAAAATGGCCATTGGCACCACACAGTGGCTCAGCCCCTTGGAAAGCAAAGCAAAAACACATAACAGGAACATTTAAAATTGCTCACGTCTCTTACCCTAGTGAACTGAAATGTAACCTAAAAAGCAATCCAAACGTATCTAAAAGATATGAAAAGCATTTCCTATTTAGCACGGACTATAAAGTAAACACGTGAACAGCTTAAGTACTCAACGTTAGGGAAATAATTTAATAAATTATGGTTCATGAAGGCGATCAGATCTTATGCAACACATAGTAATTATACAGACTGCGGCATAACTACACCCATTGCGCTGAAACACCTGAGAAAGTCTCCTGGATGCCCTCCACTGCTTCTAAATGGTGTGCTTCATTTCATTCTCCCCTTTCCCTAAAAATAAAAATGAACAAATAAGTGAGAAAAACTAAAACTATTGATAGAGCCACCAAAAAAATAGATGTGAGGACTTATGGGAAAGGAAGAATGTCTTTGGCACTGGAGAAAGTCAAGGGCACCTTGACATCCATCCAAAGGATGCCAGGACAACAGCAGGTAGCAGGACCACCCAAGTGATCTCCCAGCAAGCTTCTCAGCAAACAGAAGCCAAGCTCATCTCAACATCGACTCCCTCCCAGCCCACCTGCACAGTGAAAGGGTGGGGATGGAAAGGATC